CATCGGGCTCCCTGCTCCTTGGGAGCCTGCTTCTCCCTCTGCCTCTCTCTCTCTGTCTCTCATGAATAAATAAATAAAATCTTTTAAAAAAATAATAAAATAAAATACAATACATAGGGAGAATGCAGTCTTTCTCCTTCAGCTTTCTCCACCCTCTCCTTAACTCAAGGCCCTAGAATTCTTTCCCATCTCCAATGCCCCCCAAAGAAACATCACAACACTTTTTCCCTGCCTCTGAATAGACGAGATAAGATTTTTAAATGAGTTGCTGGCAAACAATTCATGAGCTTATAAACTATTGAAGTCGGGGTGATGAAGAGAAGGCAACGTTGAAAGGAGAACAGGTACACAGAAAATTCCAGAAGAGGCTGGAATCCTGGGGTTCAGGGTTTCTTATTCTGGTGTTCGCTAGCTGTCTTGGTACAGGTGTGATCCTGAAGGCAGCAGGGCCTCGTTCTCTCCTCTTCAGGCTTCCTCAGGAGCTGGCGGCGTGCCCTGGGCCTCAGCACCTCACAGAAAGGGCGGCACCGAAGGGCAGTGTGCGGAGGAGACACAGCCCCCCAGCGACAGGAAGTTGGGGGCCACGCTTCAGGGGCACTGAGCAAAGGAAAGGCAGCATGGGGTGGTGGGTGCCGCCTCCGAGGAGGAGAGTTCTCCCAGAGGAGAGTTCTCTGAGCGCTCGGGGCTGGTTTCTACGGTGATGGAGACATGGTGACAAAAATAAGTCTTGCTCACCTGAGACAGTAGAATCCAATTCAATTTCAAGACAGTGTGTGTTTATTGAGTGCCTGATTCGGTTTAGGTGATGGAGAGAATGAGAGAATGAAGGCAACAGCCCAAGCAGCAGGCTGACTCGGCCAGAAATTCCCTGGGAGACTGCCCCACAGGTCCATGGGGCCAGAAACTCAATTGCATCCATTTCACCCAGTAGGAAATTGGTAAATCTTAGTCTGTCTTGTGAACAAATATTTATTAAGGGCTTCCAGCCTCCCAGGGCTGTACTGGGGCTGTGGCTGGATCAGTGAACCTAGCAGATCTGGGTCCCTACCCCAATGGACTTTACATTCAACTGGGGCATTGGCAAGGCCAGGGGGTAAAGCCAGTGGGGTGGGGTCCGCCATGGGAGGGGTCCACATAGGGTGGATCATCAGGAGAAATGTTTAGGGTAGGGTAGGATTTGCACTGTGGTTTGAAGGTTAAGTGGGGTGTGGATTTTTAAAGGGCTGGAGGCCTTACAGACTGGGGACTGAGCTGCATGGTCGAGAATGAAAATGTCGCACCAGCAATGGTCTATGACCAGATCAGCCAGCTCTGCTGGGGGTGCATGCTGGGAAGTTAGACAAGAGAATGTCGGTATCACATGGGGTTATGGCACACAAACTATGTACTCGAACATCTTGGGTTCGACTCCCAGCTCTTGCACTTGCTAACCTTGTGATCCAGGGCATGCTACTTAACCTCAATAAACTTCATTTTCCTGATCTAGAAAACAGGCATAATCGTAACTAGCTCGTTCGTTGGCCCCAAGCATTTAGATGAGATCATGAGTGAGATCAATTGAGATGAATGTAAAAGGCTTATTTAGCTGTCGAATATTAACATTGGAGAAACAGCTCACTCTCTAGGCAAACCAGAACTCACTACTAAAAACTCGGTTTGGGAGCTCGTGACACCTGCATACTGTGGGGGTTGGCTGCCTGGTCAACCCTTCCTTTACCACCTTCTGTCCATCCCACGGCAGCCATGCTGGACTGAATGGCAGCACTGGGGTCAGGATGAGACAGGAGAGGTGCCTCGAACACATTTGCATGGCCTGGCCTCCTTCAGTTTTGCGCCCTAGGCACCCCACTTGCCTCACCCTGGCAGGCGCTCTGCTGAACCTAGGAAACCTTGTTGGTCGACACAGTACATTTCTCAAAGTGTGTTCCTTGGTCTACTTAAGTCAGTATCATAGAGGCCGCTTCTTAAAATTATATTCATGGACCTGTCACAGTCAGCATCTCTGGAGATAAGGACAGGGGATCTGCATTTTAACACACACACACACACACACACACACACACACTCACGGGATTCCCAGCCCCTCTACCCATACAGTACCTTAGAGCAGAAGTTCTGTGAGTGCGGCCTCAGACCAGCAGCATCAGCATTGCCCAGGAACTCATGAGAAATACAGATTTTTGTCCACCTCCCCAATTGACTGAAACAGACACTCTAGAGGTGGAGCCCAGCAATTTCTATTTTAACAAGCCCTCCAGGTAATTCTGATTCACATTAAATTCACATGGGGGAGGTTTTAAAAACTACCAATATCCAGCCCCATCCTAGATGAATTAAATCAGAATTCCTTCAAAAGCTCCCCCACCACGTCTGCCTTCGGCTCAGGTCATGATCCCAGCGTCCTGCGATCCAGTCCCACGTCGGGCTCCCAGCTCAGTGGGGAGCCTGCTTCTCCCTTTCCCCCTGCCTGCTGCTCTGCCTACTTGTGCTCTATCTCTCTGTGAAATAAATAAATAAAATCTTTAAAAAAAAAAAAAAAACCTCCCCCACCACAGGGGCGCCTGGGTGGTTCGGCTCAGGTCATGATCCTGGACTCCCTGGATCGAGTCCTGCATCGGGCTCCCTGCTCAGCGGGGAGCCTGCTTCTCTCTCTGACCCTCCCCCCTCTCATGTGCTCTCTCTCTCTCTCCTTCTCTCTGTCTCAAATAAATAAATAAAACAAACAAACAAACAAACAAACATACCTTCCCAGCAACATCCAGACGAGCGTTTGACCACGTCTGGGTACTGTGGCCTAGCCAAGTGGACATATAAAATCAACCATCACAAGGTGTATTTTTTTTTTAAGTATTTACATTCCAGGATGATGATAAACACCGTCACGAATACCAAATACCTATTAGACAATGGAGTGGGTGCTTGGGTCAGAACAAACTCCCCAAGGCAGAAAGTGTCTGTTTCGTAAAGATTGCTGGGAGACTAAAGGAGAATCCTGGCGGGAGGCAGAAGCCGCCTCCCAGGATAAAACCTGCAATCCCCAGACACCTACTGTCCCAGCCTCCCTCGCTGCTGGTGCTTGCTCATGACCTAGGCTCACAAGAGCCTCGGGAGCTCCGGATCCAAGCGAGCTCCTTCTTCCGTTACGTTGTCTCCTGGGCCTCTCTGCCCTCTTGCAACTGTCTCACTTCTGGACTCACTTTGTCCTCTTTAAACATAAGAGAATTCACCCTCCCTGGTTTCTGGCTTGAGTCATAATACCTCTGTAGGGTCTGGTTATTCAAACTGTGGTTCATATATGGCCTGGAAGCTTGTTACCAATGCAGAATCTCGGGCCCTGCCCCAGATCCACTGAATCAAGACCCACGTTGTAACAAGATCCCAGGCAATTCCTATGCACATTCATGTTCTAGAAGCACTGACTTCCAGCACACCCCTTGGCTTCCCTCACTCCAGGCCCTTCTGCAGGAACCACGCTCAAGGCCAGTCTGACCATACTCTGCACAGTAGGGCTGTCACTGTAGGAAAAGTCACTTCTGACCTCTGCATCTCCTTAGCTCTCGTGCCCACAAATACAGTGAGATTACAGTGAATATTGCTATGGAAACCAGCCTTGGCTACTGTCTACTATCAATTTTGCTGCTTTTCCTTCACTCCCTGTGTCTCTGGAATTACGAGCTTCCTAAACCACAGTCGAACATCTAAATTCCTCTCTAGCCTGAGACTGAACAAATAACAGAGATGGGAAGTCAAGGCCAGACAATTTATCAAGGAAAGCCATAGTAACTGCAGAGGTTTGCTTTGATTTAAAAAGAGAAGGCAAATTTGCAACGACGTGGATGGAACTGGAGGGTATTATGTTGAGTGAAATAAGTCAAACAGAGAAAGACATGTATCATATGATCTCACTGATATG